ATATATATATATATTATAATAAAATATATAATATTACTATTATTTTTTAACAAGAAAAAGACAAAAATAAAGGAGGTAAATTGATAAAAAGACCCTTGATTTAACGGATTGGAGTTAACTCCGTTAGGGATAAAGACCCAGAACGCAACGAAATGCAAACTACAAGGACGATCGGTGTAATTATTTTGAAAGAGAGATCATATCCAGATTTTGAGAAAATCACAGGACATATGGTGTAACTTACTCTTTTGTATTTTTGAATGTGTAAGGATGAAAAGTGTTATAATCGATAAATTATAGAGACCAAATTCGTAATGCATTCTTAACTATATTATTAAAATAGGAAGAGATTTATTTGAGAAGTGGTAATTATTTGAAAAGTAAAGAAGTGATCATATCCTTTCATAGTTCATACGGTCAAGAATTGCAGCTTTGACTGGTTAAGATTTGCGGCCTTGACTTGTCAAGGAAAAAATGAAGGGATAGTTTCATAATTTTTATAAATATGCGGCAAACAAGTGCATATGTGAAACCATAGTTCATGTGTGAATCAATTAATTAGTTAATATGTAAATCAGTTAATTATTTCATACATCAATCATACGGGTTCATATGTGAATCAGTTGATTCCTTCATATTTAAATTACACAGGTTCATATGTGAATCAGTTAATTAGTTCATATGTGAATCATATAGATTCATATATAAATTAATTAAATAGTTCATATGTGAATTACACAGATTCATATATGAACATATAGTTCATATATGAATCAGACGAGTTCAAGTGTACACTTGTTTTGTCGTCTATTTATAAAAGTTACGAAACTATCCTTCTATCATCCACATATAATATGAGGAATCATCCAATACTTCATAGTTAAAGTCGTAAATCTTGATCAGATGAAAGATTAAAATCATTAGTCTAATTTTTAAATACTCACCACTTATCAAATGAATATATGACTATTAAAATATTAAAAATATATATTGATAAAATATTGTTTTTTAGTACTAAACTTTTAATTTAAAATATTTTATGCATAGAATAATAAAAAAATCATTTATCTCCCCAAATTGCTCTATGCTTTAGAGAATCCATTGGACATATTCTTTGTTACATTCAAAAATAAAAAGAAAAAAAGAAAAATATTTTGTTTGTATTGGGTAAAAGCTAGTATTGCCAGTTCATGTTATGATTCAGCAATGAATTGAAGCAGTCAGAAATGATGATTCAGATCCAAATAATTGAATGCATCTGGATTTAAAGTAGCATTCATTTCATTATTTTTCCAATATTACAGGATGTTCTTCCATTGATGAAGTTGAAGCTTTTTTCTTCTTTAATGGCGGAAATTGAAAATTAGCTTCAATACATCCCCTCATGCCACCGATTTCATTCTTGTTGTTTAATTTACATTTTTTACTTATTTTTAAAATGTTTCCATCGGTGATTGGAGACTGACCGGAGATTAATTTAGTTATCTTCCGTTAAATTCCATTGATCTTGACAGTACCATTGGAGGGTCGGAGCTTGATCATCGGAGAAGAAATTGCAGGATTCATCTCCACTGAAGAAATTGTGTTCTTCGATCTTCACAAACTGAGGCTGGTAAGCTTTCTGTGCATCACCCATTATAGCTTTTGATTCCGGCAACTGTTGACAGTTCATCACGATGGCAGCCGCCATGTTCGAACTGTTGTTATCTTCGTTCAGTATCGCACTTGAATCACTGTCTGAAGACCCATCTTTGAAATACGTCGTCATGTTTTCGTACATCATCTCCGGCGACTTTGGCTTATCGCCTGTTTCTTCCTTCACCGGAACATGGGTTTCTTCGTCTTCCCCGTATAACTTGGATTTCAGTTCCCTAATCTGGAAATTTCAACAACATGATCTATAAATCATTTGAAGCCCAAAAAGGGATTTGAATCATTAATTTGATGGGGTACCTGTTTGAGTAGAGATTCATTATCATGTTTAAGGGATTCGTAGTTGTTTTTGAGTGAATCAAAATTGGCTTTAAGAACACCGTAGTCTCTCTCTAGTTGTTTCGTCTTCCACCGTGCACGGCGGTTCTGGAACCAGACGGCGACCTGACGTGGTTGCAGACCAAGCTCTTGAGCAAGCTTCACTTTCCTCTCCGGCTCCAACTTATTCTCCATCTCGAAGTTCTTCTCCAACGCCTTCACTTGATCTACACTCAGCCGTCGTTTCTTCTCGGAGATCTGACCGCCGGCGGACTCCTCACCACCACCATCTTCATCCAAACCTTCCATTAACATCGACTGGAACTCTCTCGTGTACCCCACAGGACTGTTTCCACCTTCTTCTACAAACAATCACAATTTATACTCATTATTGATCCGGTTGCTAAAATCAAATGAAACATATATACATGAATCTCAATCGGAAAATCTAAATTTACCTATGGTTGAGCACATGGGCATCAAACCCGCCATGGATTCTGAGCTTCCAATGTCTTAAAATTAACGAATTCAATTACAGTAAACGATGAATAACGACACAAAGATTTTGATGGTTTTGTTTGATTACAACCAGATGACAATTCTACTTGAAACAACTTCCATGGCTGCAAATGGTGGTGGTTTGAATGATGATAATGATGATGGGTTCAGAGAGTGACCATTTCCTCCATCTTTCTTCTCCATTGCTAATAATTAAGCAACCAATTAAGAACCAAAAAGGATACAGAATTGAAGGTCACAACACACAGCCTGCAACATTAGTTGCAGAGATCAAGAAAGAGGGTTCATGGACTGTTCATCGAGAGAGAGAGAGAGAGAGAGAGAACTGGTTTTCAGCCCAGCTGTCCTTCATGCTTTCCCTTTCTTTATATAAACTCAACCTTTGTCCAGTGGTGTGGTTAAAATCTAACTAGGGTCAGCTCTACTCTATAGGCTATATACATCTAACTAAAAAGGGTTTAAGTTATATCAAACTTTTTTACGTTAGAATAAGATCAAAGTATGAATTGAGAATATAAAAATTAAAGGGTCATTTACTTAAATACTTACTCGGTAGGCGTTTTTCTGTAGGAGTCAATACTATAATCTATTTCATATGTTTTTCCCAGCTCAAAGGCGATGACTAATAGATTCATCAGGTAAGATTGTAGTATATTAAAACGGTATCGTATGCAACAATTTACACTGTAAACGCTTACCCTAGCAAGATTCATCATCATCACTTACCGGGTAAGACTCTCTATCCTTATTATCACTTTTACCGGGTAAGATTTTCGGCCCTTGCCCTGTGCATCATACAAGGAAAGTTACCCGATCAACACTTACCGGGTAAGTGTTTAGTGAAGGCCCCTAAGTCTTGATATTGACTGAGCAAGAAAATTTATAGGTATAAATGCATTTAACAATATATAAGGGTTAGTCCATCCTCGTAAAATAGTGAGTTTGTTTTTAGTGGTCATTAGAAGAGATGTCAATTTTGTATCATGACAAACAAACCAATTTTTATTACCAACCGTACTAATTTAATTGGATTCAATTCAGTTAGTACCAACCTAATTGGTTGGTAGTACCGAACCAACTATCTAAACTTGTTTGGTACATGGTATTAGTATTCGTGTACTACAGTAATATCGTACTGTACCGACTTAATTTTTTAACAATTTATTAATTAAAGTTAAGTATAATACAACATATTTTGATTTTGAATTTTAAAATATTCTTATTTTCAGTTTTTGCTAAATTATGATATAGATTGATAGATTCATTCGCCCAACCCTAACAACCTTAGTAACTCGTCCATATTTTCACGGTTCATTGTTGCTTCTCAATGATCGTTTGTATTAGATTATTATGAATGGTTGTATTATATGAAACTATTTGAATGTTTATATATGTAGTGATAAGTGGTACAACACATATCAACATGTTATTAAGAATTAGTGCATCTAAATATAGTTGATAAACATGTTAATATAAACAAATTTGTAACTTCATGTTTTAGTTGGTACAAAACCGTACCAACATATACCAACCAAAAAAAGTTGATACCAATTTAGTTGGTACTAAGTATACTTGGTTGGTATATAGTATAAACTTTTCCATATCAATTATAATTGGTTGGTACACGGTATTTGAAAAAAGAAACATGATATCATACCATATTCACCCTTACTTATTAGTCTAACCATTTAGAGACACTAGAAGGATGTTCACTATCTCCTTCGTCTGGTCGAGTTGGGAGAAACCCCATGGAAGTGAGACTGTAATTCTTCTATTACGTTATGGAGAAGACCATTATCGTCATGGTTGATCCATATCCTACTGTTGTCTCAGGAGAACCTGACTTGCTTTAGCTTACAAATTAGCCTACTAACACGACTTCTTTTTATTGATTGCACACAATCCAATTGAAACTGATTAGTAATAATTGGATCGGATCGAATCCAATTTTATAGGGGGGGTGAAGCCCCGAGTAGGTCCCATACACTCGCTCAACCTCTTTTGCAAGTAGAATTTCTTTTGAGGAATGAAAGGTGCATCCATTAAACTTTGACGTTGTGTTCTTGAAACCTTTTTTAAGAAGGAAAGTAAAGAAAAGAGAGGGAAATGAGAGAAAAGTAAAAGAACTCGTCTTCTCGATACTTTTTAGGAGAGAAAAGAAAGAAAAATGAAAGAAATTAATAATAAGTTTTTCTTCCAAAACTTCCCTGTCAAATATAAGAGGAAAGAAAAGAAATTAAAAACCCTTTTAAAAAGTTATCTATACTATATTATAAAGCATTTGACAAAAACTCTTAAAAACCACTTTTTATGCGTAAAGTACTGTTTATTTATGCATATTACTTAAAACTCAAGATTGCAAGTAGATTGTACGTAAGTACAACTTATTAAAGCTCTACATCTGAATTCGTGTAACTAACTGCAGATAAACATAATCAAATACAGGATAAACATCTYATTTTAAATATAAAAAATCTAAAAYATAATTAGGATAATCATTGAATTCTAACATAATACTTAATTATTATATTTATAAAATGTTATATTATTAAACCAAAAATAAATTATTTCGTTATTAAACTTAAATTAAATTATAATTAAAAAATTACATAAAAAATGAAAATTTTAAATAGTTGATTTGATATTATATTGATATATATTTTTTGATTTTTTTTTATATCTTCAAATTTATATTTTATTCAAAAATAAAATCATTATTATTTTCTTAAAAATACATAAAATCGTATTGTAACATCGACAAAGACAAATAATAAAATATAACATTAATATCGAGATGTGTCTCGCTGCATTGCGCGAATACTCTTCTAGTTAAAAATTAAACTACCTGAAATTTCATTTTAAATGATAGATTTTTGAAGGACATATTTATAAAAATAACATATTTCATTTCATTTCTCTCATAACATATTTTTCTTCCCTGTCAGGTACATAAATAAAAAAATATTTTCCTTTCCTTTTTTTTCTCTCACTTTCTTTTCTTTTCTCCACAAGTTTGAGAACACAACGTGAGAAGTGCTCCGAGATACTAGAAAATAAAAAGAACATCAACCAAAAAAAAGGGGGGGAAAATCTTCGAAATCAACAAAAAAACTTAAAAGTTTCTAAAAATCAACCCAAAAGCTAAAAAATCCCTCGAAAACAATGGAATTCGGATAAAAATATATTTGATGACTTTGTGGACGTTTGATCTATCTTAAAGGTACAGTCGGCAAAATTACTAGGCCCGCTTTTGCAATTTTATAATATACAAATTTGATCAGTACTTTTTTCAATGACAACCCAAAAATCCATAAGAGTGAATTGATTCAATTCAATTACTAGATCGATTGCCATCCAACTACCCATCTATTTACCAACCAAGTATCATCATATTATTAAACATATAAAATAATTAATATTTCACAATATTATTTTAATTGATATTTATGTGCACTTTTTTGAAGAAATTAAGAAAATTATAAATAATTTGTTAAAATGATGAATTAATTTGTTGAAAATTGTTTATAGATTAACCTGATATGATAACAATCTTATATATAATTATTCATCATATTAGATGGACAGATTCACTTATTGAATTTCAACCGATAAACATCCTAATTAACTTTAAAATCTAAATGATTAGTTGATGTACACACAAACTACTCAAATATTTAAAGTTGTAAAAAACATATCCAGCTTAATTTAAAATTATATTTTTGTATCGTAGATAAGAGGTTTCATAAAAAATATTGGGTCTCACCACCAAATATTTTCTTTTTATACATTTTATTTTAATAAACTATAGAGTAAGTTACAAATTTGGTCCCTGTGGTTTATCATAAGTAACACCTTTGTTCATATAGTTTGAGATTAGAAGATGGGCATCGAAGTTTATAAAAACCTTGAGATAGAATTTTTTGAAAATGCTCTTTATTTAACAAATTTTTTATTATTTGTTAGAAGGAGGGACCAAATTCAAACTTTTTTCAAATCACGATCACCATCTTGTAATTTTAAAACTATAAAGGAAAAAATGTTATTCATGACAAACCACAGGGACCAAATTTGTAGTTTACTCTAATTATAAGAGAAATTGAGTCGGAAAAGGATGGAGGATGTTGAAGATATTGGTGGCGTCAGCGTATCCCCTTTGCCACCATGCGGTGGCCGTTTGCCCTATGGAGTCGTCACAATTACCATCCTATATCTCTTCTTGTTGGATGCTTTTCTCATTTTAAAATATTACTTTTATATTATTTTATTTAAATTATTTTTTTAATAATGTTTATTAAATTGCATAAAGCATGTGTATTAACCCTATGTTGTGTGGTTTACAACTTTCACATTACGGTTAAAGTTTGTATTTTGTTAAAGTGTATTATATAGTTTGGTTTGTGGTTTTGAATTACAAAATTACAGTTTAAAACACATTATGTCGATATTAAATTTTAGAGTGAATTATGGATTGGTTTGTCTTTTGATACTTTTTTATAACTAGGGTTTTTAAACCATGCTTATTATGATTTGGTCATTGTGATATTCAATTTGTCATTGTCATGGGGTTTTTTCGACTAAATTTGTAACATCCATGGTTTTTTTCAACTAAAATCGTAAATTTTTTTTTTGTTAACTTTGATAAGTTAGAGACGTTTTGGTATTTAACCTATTTTTTTGTCTTTACCTATTAAGAAAATACAAAAATAAATAAATTATAAGAATCATGAGAACCAATTTTCATGTGTTCTTTCATGTTCTGAAACAATGTAGTTGAAAATAGTGTTGTTTCACAATATGATTATTTTTAATGTTTTTTTTGTATCACATTGTAAAACAACTTTATAAATTCACATTCATTGTTTCACAATGTGAAATATGTAAAACTGTAATTTTTAGGAAAAGTGGTTCGTGGATGGTTGAAAAACAGTTGGTGTAAGGCCAGGATAATAGTCGGTGAACAACTGGGAAATCGGTAGGTGAACGGTCGAGAAAATGGGCAGGAAACGATCAGGAAGCGACCTAAGAACGTGGCACAGCGGCATGGGAACGTAGCATGGGCGACTTGCTCGCGACCTAAGTCGTCGTTAATGTTGCGTGACCCTCTGTTTGTTGGAGTAAAGTTCTCGGGCGACCTGTCCCGCGACTAAGGTCGTATGTGGGCCTACTAGACGCATAAAAATCCGGTTTTTTTGGGGTTTTCTCCAATTGGCCATAGATTCTTCATTTTTTAGCAGATTTTGACGATTCTTGAAGCTATGAACTCATTTTTTGGCGCCCTTCAGGACGAGACTAGAGAGGATTAAAATTTCTTGGTGATTATACAGTC